CCATTAGGATGTTCAATATCCCGTATCTGTACCATTATATCAACCGACAGGATCTATCGGTTCACCGATCGCGCAACATCGCAAAGACCTATTATCATACTGGAGTTAAAGGTCTCCCCGGTAACAGCGACGCCGGTGCCATGCAGACCTGGCTTCTGTGGAATATGATTGGCCTGTATCCCATCACGGGGCAAACGACCTTTTTGGTTCATTCTCCGTGGTTCGAGTCCTTGACTATTGAGCTTGGGGACGGGAAGAAACTAAGCATCAGTGCGACCGGCGGCGACGGAAACGGCGACAGTCAAATTTATGTGCAGAAGCTTCGGTTGAACGGAAAGGATTGGAAGAAGAACTGGCTCACGTGGGACGACATATTCGCCCAGGGGGGAACCCTAGAATTTGAACTTGGAGAGGCTGCCAGCGACTGGTTCACAGGCGAGTTGCCGCCCAGTCCTGCTTCCTGAAGTTGATAAGCCCGCACAGTTTTCGCCTGTGGTATATTCTTTGTACATATTCACATTCATACATACCCAGTATAGCTGCTGCTATATTCAACCATCGTACTATCTTATTGGTTGGAAAGATACCCCGTTGGAGAGCTCATTGAAATAGGAGATGACCTGTTGGTCTGTGTAGACCATTTCACAGGCTCTGAGCGCCCCATAATACTCCATATGCTCTGAGTACCTCAGGAGATGCTGAACGTGATAATTCCTACAGCGGTATCAGCTGGCGAGACCAAATTCTTGATTCGCCATCCGTGGATATTATCATGTGCGTTTCGATCAGCCCGTCAGGCAGCAGAGGAAAAGAAAAGCGGCCCCCGAAATAGCGGCGGATCCACCACCACATCACCGGTATTTAGGGCTCTCCTTTTTCTTTCGAAACATCGCGACAAATACCGCATGCTAAGGGAAGCCGTCGAACGGCAGCGAGTAGCTAAACTGGCTCTCCGTTGGTCGTATCCATAATAGTTGCCAATAGTAGAGACAATAGTAACGACAAACCCCATCGAGTCTTGGCTGTCGTCGTTCATTCGCGAACCCAGGAGGAGTTGATCGGCACTGGCCTTATTAAGCTTGTTGATCATCAACTGAAACGGTCCCAACGACTATGCATAATCTTGCGTGCTGGATTTCGGGGATTTCCTCTACGGAATTCCGTTGTGGGACTGGATAAATTATGACGAGATGATCAGGTAGTTCCTTCTAGGGATATCGTCGTAAGTCAGCGAGCATGATGTTTCTTATGCACCCCTTTTCTTCTTCTTCTGCTAAAGTGTTGGAGAATTTGTATGCTCAGAATTACAATCGTTCGTACAAAGTACGAGTCTTGGAAGGGAAAACCCAAAAAAAAAAAAAGAAAAAAAAAAAGCTTGCCAGCAGGATCTCCGTATGCAAGATCATTTTCAGTCCTTGCTATACTACGGTCGTGTCCGGGGCTCTCGGAGCGGAACCCGCGGAATTGTTAACTCATACGGAGTATTCTGATTATTCTCTTTGTCGGCCCTAAGGCGCGGCTATGGGTTTAATTGCCATTCAAAGGAAGTGGAGTGTTCCCTATTGGTCCATAGGCGTCATATCCACTGTGAGGGACCAGGGGTACTGTGGTAGAGCGCATGTTGTGCGATGGCTTGAACTACCATCACTGCCAAGTCCAAGATCTTGTTCATCAGCCGAACTCATAATTGACCGGTGCAATGTATAATACGTAGCTCGTAAAGCAATAGATCACTCGTGATCCAACAACCGGTGCATATGCTGAGAATTGCAATTGTAAGCTTCAATAGCTCACCCGGCACTCCCGTACTCTTAGAGTAAGGCTGAACAACAAAGCAACATGACTACCTTGACTCCATTGAAGATCGTCAGGGTTAGGCTCCATAGGTCTGGGCAGACCGGCTACCTGGATGATCATGTACAACGTGCGGTTTGCCTTTTATCTTCTTGACCCTGTATACTGTACATATCCTTGGTAGAGGAAAGTCAGCTCCGAATATATTGCGATTAGACCTCAGATATTAGTAGTTTATCGCGGCGGACAAGTTCGTGTTCTTCAGTTTCTCCCACCAATAGTGGATAGCAAAATCAGCGCACCATTAGACTTCTAGCAACGCATGTGATACAAAGGAGTGCCTGGTGCCTGGTGCCTGGTAAGATTAAGATGCAGATCACCGTAGTAGCTAACAGGTAACTAAGGAGTATGTTCGGAAGACTTGGAAGCCATGATGTTTAAAGCCTATTCTGTGTAGATCAGCGGATCCGGCGCTCCCCGAACAAGCAATCATTGCGCTCTTATTGCAGTATTAACGCCTATGGAGAGAATTGCCGATTGTAACGATGGGCCTCTTCTCGAAATGTGTACTGTTGTAATTGTAGAGGTTGCTCGAACTTCATTGTGGGAACTGCACATAGATCTATGACTCCTGTTTTCGCAGTAGTATACGTAGCATAGCGATGATGACGGTGTACAGAGCAGCACGGAGCGAGAAAGGAACGATGGTATGTACATTGGAGAACCTGTATCCTGTTTCATATGCAGTACCCACAGCCTGGTGGTTCTTTTGTCTCCATCAAGCTTGCGATGAAGCTTTACTCTCCTGGGCAACAACACAAGTTCCTAGTCAAATGGTTGACCCCAACTAGCTAATCAAGCTGCTCAGCTGCTTTTTGAAAAATCAAGTAACAAAGAGATTATCATGAGCAGCTGTAGTATATAAGGCTTTAACACCCCCAGCTCTCTTGACTTTCTCTCTCGATCATCAGTGCAACACTCATTCGTTCTCTCGCTCTCCAACTTCCGTCATTCATTAACGGTTATACCTTGTACCAATATACTCTTCCATTCATTTTAATTTTCTTTCACATATCTCATCACAATGAAGGCTTCCCTTATCACTGTCATCGCTGCTCTGGCCTCTTCGGCCATGGCTGCTCCTGCTGGCAGCCTCTCTGATGTCAGCATCCTCAAGGAGGCCACCTCCACCACCAATGCTGTTCCCGCAGTGTCTCCAGTCCCCTCTTCGGACGCCAGTGGTCACATTGTTCAGGATGTTGGCCATGGTGTGAACCAAGTCCTCACTGTCACTGGCACTGACGGGAAGAAGCTCCTCATTGAGCTTAGCCCCAAGGTTGCTGGTCTCCTTTCCGGCCTCGGTCTTCCCGGTGTTGGCGTCCCTGTCGGTGAGGTTGTCAAGACCGCTGCCTCGGTCGGCGACGTGATCAAGGGCCTTGGTTCAGCTGTTGACGGCCTCCTGACCGTCGTCAGCAAGGACGGTAGTGCTCTCTTAATCAAGCTGTCTTCTGACATCGCTGGCCTTCTCTCTGGTGTTGGTCTCCCTGGTGTCGGGATTCCCGTTGGTAGCACTGTCGCCACCGTCGGTGAGAACCTGAAGCGCTCCGCCGATGGCCAGCTCGTTCAGGATGTTGCCCCCGAGGTGCAGGATGTCCTCGAGGTCACCGGTACCGATTCCAAGCGTATCCTCATCAAGCTCAGCCCCTCTGTTGCCTCTCTCCTCGCCAACCTTGGCCTCCCTAGAGTCGGTAACTCCGCTGGTCAGATCATCAAGACCGCCGGTAACGCTGGTGACCTCATTAAGGACGTCGGCGAGCCCGCCAAGAACCTCCTCACTGTTGTTGGCCAGGATGGCTCTTTCCTTCTCATCAAGCTCTCCCCTAATGTTGCAGGCCTTCTCACTGGTCTCAGTCTGCCTGCTCTGGGCACTGCCGTTGGCAATGTTGTCGCTACTCTTGGCGCCAACCTGTAAATGGTGAGTTCTGTTAGTCTTTTGCATACGTTGAATAGAATGAAGAATCCATACTGATTTCAATAAAGTTTCCAGTCAGATAGAATGGGTTCACAGTGCCATACCAGGCTAGGTTTCTAGGGAGCCCTGTACAGTCCGCATGCCGACAATGACTAGCGTGAGGATACCAAATGTTTGTTATCGATTTGCTATATGATTGAGTCCAGATAGATTTCTGTTTCATTGCACATGTTGGGGGCTTTCCGATAATACAAATTTAATTCAGATGCATACCATTTTTCTGCCCCTTTTTGAACGGTCTTATTTTAGACATGGCCTTAGCTGGAGCGGGATATACCCAGACTGTAGCCCGAGGAGAAACAGCAACAGGTGACTCGGGCGTTCTCAAAACATTGCACGGGACCGAATCCGGACATAGGTAGACATTAATGAGTGCCTGGAGCATCCAAACACTTAATGTGAATATAACTCAGACTAGGCATAGAAGGTCAACTGATCCCGGTTCGTAGCTGATCTCGAAGGCCCTTAACTAGATCTGCCCTAGTCAGAGAGTTAATTAGTTTGACTCCAAACTAAAATTAATTCTCGCCCCTTTAACTTCAGTTAGAGTTGTTTGTCTCCTAGTTTTGCTGTATAGGGCTCTTCCTTTCGGTGTCGGCTATTCTCCGGAAACGGCAGTTTTTAGAGCGTTTCATCTTTCGTTTGGGTCCACTTCTCTGGAGGGCCATTCCGCCCCAACCGATGGAGGCATCAAAAGTTCCATGAAGAATGAAAATTTGTGTGCGTTGAGGACTGAACAGACCTATCGAGCTCTATAGACATCTTGTTGAGCCAAATTGCAGATCCGGGCCGACGGCCGAGATATGATACGAAACACGGAACGGATGCTTGTGCTTGATTCAGTCGTCCGAAGCACGCCATGGTTCTCTTATTAGAGATTGGCATGTATCGGTGCTCCTTGCGCGCCCACTAATTTATTTAATTCGACCCGATGTCTGGTTCTAGATGTCTAGGCCGACTTGACAGATTATCGCTCAGCCCTGGAGTGCAGAGAGGGTAGCCAGCGGTTGTTTGAAACTAGGGCTACTAGATGTTTGCTCCATGTCTTAGGGAAATTGTTTCAGGTTGATATCCCGGTCTAGCTCTACTTAACAGCTCTTCTCGCTCGTGCCTTACAGCCCTTCTTGCTCTATCCTCACACTCACTTTCTTTTCTCCAGATCCCGCTCAGCAAAATGCGGATCAATACACTGTCGTTGTTTTCCCTAGTGAGCCTGTTACCTACCCTTGCGGTGGCCAGCCTTTCAGGATCTGTGGGACCATTAACACCGGCTTCGACTAAAGCCGCCACGAAGACTTGCAATGTTCTCGATTATGGGGCCAAAGCTGATAAGACCACCGATCTCGGGCCTCCTCTGGCATCTGCGTTCGCCGACTGCAAATCTGGCGGTTTGGTATATGTGCCATCAGGAGATTATGCACTGTCAACCTGGGCCAGACTGAGTGGTGGCAAGGCATGGGCACTGCAGATTGAAGGAACCATCTACCGCACCGGCACGGATGGTGGAAACATGATCTTTATTGAACATTCCAGCGATTTTGAGCTCTTCAGTAGCACATCGTCGGGTGCCATGCAGGGCTTGGGCTATCAATACCACAAGGATAACAAATGGAGTGGGCCTCGCCTCTTGCGACTCTATGATGTTACAGATTTCTCGGTTCATGACTTTATCCTTGTCGATGCCCCTGCTTTCCACTTTTCCCTGGATACTTGCACCAACGGCGAAGTATATAACATGGCAATTCGTGGTGGTAACCACGGAGGCTTGGATGGTGTTGACGTTTGGTCAACGAACGTCTGGATTCATGACGTGAGTAGTGAATTGCCGATATTTGAGTCTCGCGTTCCTCAGCAGCTTACGTGTCAATAGATCGAGGTAACGAACAAGGATGAGTGTGTCACAGTCAAGGTATGTTTCCAACAGAGCTCACCGTTTATCTCAAAGACTGTCTAACACACATCTACAGAGTCCTTCTAAGAACATCTTGGTTGAAAATATCTACTGCAACTGGAGCGGTGGATGCGGTATGGGCTCTCTTGGAAAGGATACCGATATCAGTGATATCACTTACCGGAACATCTATACCTGGAACTCCAACAACATGATGTTCATTAAGAGCAATGGTGGTAGTGGCTCCGCGACTAATCTGCTGTTTGAGAACTTCATCGGTAAGCACAAGCATCCTTATAAGTCAGTTAGTAAAATTCCTTGACAATGCTAACCCTGCATCTTGCATTCGTCAGGCCACGGAAACGCCTACTCGTTCGATATTGACAGTTACTGGGCCAGCATGAGCTCTCAGGGTGGAAATGGTGTCGAACTGAGCAACATCACTCTCAGAAACTGGAAGGGTACTGAGGAGAATGGCGCTGCAAGAGGCCCTATCAAGATTGTTTGCCCAGACGGTGCCCCTTGCTATGATATCACGATTGAGGACTTTGCCATGTGGACCGAGGACAGTTCCAGGCAGCGGCAATGGTACTCTTGCCGCAACGCTTATGGCACTGGATTTTGTCTTAAATCAGGCTCCAGTCATGTTGCTTATGAAGCGACCACGACTACAGTCTCCAGCGCCCCATCTGGCTATTCGGCGGCAACAATGGTTGCCGATCTCAAAACGGACTTCGGTATTACAGCCTCCATTCCAATTCCGACCATTCCCACCTCCTTCTACCCTGGAGCGACTCCGTATAGTGCTTTGATGGCCAACAAAGGCTCGACAGCGAAGGTCCGAGCGGTTGTGGCGTCCTCTAAGCCGGCAACGGTTGCTGAGGTGACCTCCACCACGGCCGAGCAGCAGGCGTCCACTAGCACACCAGCTCCTACTGTGGCCAGTGAGCAGCCTTCCCAACAATCTGAGCAGCATTCCTCTGGACAATCTGCCGGTGAGGTTGGTGGTTGCCCGTTTGGAAATGACAAGCCAGCACCCACAGGCCCTCCTCGTGCTGGCCATCGTCATCATCGGCGCCATGGCCACCACTAGACATGACGCATGCATATAGAAGTATTTGATTCTCAACTTGTTTTACTAAGATATTATATCTATCAATATAGAGTCAGTTATCAAACGTCTCATCTTTATCTTGTTATGAGTAGACTTAATACATTGATAACTTACAGCCTTGGGGATAGATTCCAGGTACACAATAATCTTCATGTATTTCATAGTCGAGTAAGGCATGGCTTATAATTGACAAAACAATTGAAGGGAGGTGTCTAGTATTACGAAATGTACGTACGAGGAACAAACGATAAGCAAACAAAGACAAGGGTAAGGTGATGTCACATGGGGAGAACACGGGAGCTTTGGCCTCTCCGCAAGCAACCCCCGCAGCAGGAAACCAGGTTTTCTTCTCCTCTGCTCTTCTGCTTTCTCCTCAACCATTGCCTACTTTTTATTCTTGCAATTACTGTTGGTAGTGTCAGTTTCAAACTGTCTCGATTTGTCTCGTCGGTCCCCAGTAACAAGGTTTTGTACCTGATTGAGCCTTATCAGTTCCTGCCCGCTGCCGGAATGGGTTCTCCCCAAGCTGCAGATAGCTCCCCGCCGGACGGCACAGGTTGGTCACTTCCAACGACGCATTGTCCAACTCCACCTTACGCTGAATTTACTCAGGTGTTATAAAGCTGGACCCTTGGCTAGAGCCTTTTCGGGATGCTTTGAAGCAAAGGTTCAGTTTTGTCGAAGGCTGGGTGAAAGCCATCAATGAGACAGAAGGAGGTCTTGAAACGTTTAGCAAGGTGAGAGCCAATTGTTCTGATGATTTCCTTGGCTTGGGAGGGGCTCCAATTGACCCTGAAGTTTGTCCCTGCTAACTATGATTTCATCCACTCTTTAGGGTTACGAGAGGTTTGGCCTCAACGTTCAATCCAACGGTGACATAGTGTACAGAGAATGGGCTCCAAATGCTGTGCAAGCGCAGTTGGTCGGAGAATTCAGTATGTCTGACTGCATGGAGAAAACTACCTGAGGAAGCAATACTGAAGCTAGCAGACAATTGGGACGTGACGGCCCACCCAATGACAAAGAATGACTTTGGCGTCTGGGAGGTTACGGTGCCGGCAGTTAGCGGCTCTCCAGCTATCCCCCATGATAGCAAGATCAAGGTATCGATCCCATTGTTTAGGCTGGCGGTTGTCGATACGTTCCGTATCACTTACGGTTGTCCAGATATCAATGGTCACCCCCAGTGGAGAGCGAATCTATCGGATCCCAGCGTGGATCAAGCGTGTGGTGCAAGACCTCAATGTGTCACCTACATATGAGTCGGTCTTCTGGAACCCTCCAGCCGAAAAGCAATATAAGTTTCAGCATCCCCGCCCTAAGAGGCCTGAAAGTCTCCGAATTTACGAAGCGCATGTGGGGATTTCATCACCAGAAACTAAAGTCGCAACCTACAAAGAGTTCACTTCCAATATGCTCCCTCGGATCAAATATCTAGGGTACAATGCAATTCAGCTAATGGCCATCATGGAGCACGCTTACTACGCCAGCTTCGGATACCAAGTCAATAACTTCTTCGCAGCGAGCAGCCGCTATGGTACACCTGAAGACCTAAAGGAGCTCGTCGACAAAGCCCACAGCATGGGTCTAGTGGTACTCCTCGATGTCGTCCATAGCCATGCATCGAAGAACGTTCTCGATGGATTGAACATGTTCGACGGCACAGACCACCTATACTTCCACGGTGGTGGGAAGGGTCGACATGAGTTGTGGGACAGCCGATTGTTCAACTATGGCAATCATGAGGTTCTGCGCTTCCTTCTGAGCAACTTGCGCTTTTGGATGGAGGAGTATGGCTTTGATGGTTTCCGCTTCGATGGTGTCACAAGTATGCTTTACACCCATCACGGAATTGGAACGTAAGTAGCCAACCTTTTCAGTACTATTATTCGTCTAATCAGAAGACACAGAGGTTTTTCTGGGGGGTACCATGAGTATTTTGGTTCTTCTGTCGATGAAGAAGGTGTGATGTATCTGGCACTTGCTAACGAAATGCTCCATAACCTCTATCCCAACTGTATCACAGTAGCGGAAGACGTCTCTGGGATGCCGGCCCTCTGTCTACCACACTCCCTCGGCGGAGTCGGCTTTGACTACCGCCTCGCCATGGCTGTCCCAGACATGTATATCAAGCTCTTGAAAGAGAAGGGGGATGACGAGTGGGACATAGGAAACCTATCCTTCACTTTGACAAACAGACGCCATGGCGAGAAGACAATTGCCTACGCAGAAAGCCACGATCAAGCGTAAGCTTACAAATCCACCGTATATACTATAAGACTTTTCTTGCTAACTCCATAATAAGGCTTGTTGGCGATAAAACCCTCATGATGTGGCTATGCGATAAAGAAATGTACACACACATGTCCGTGCTGACAGAGTTCACTCCCATCATCGAACGAGGCATGGCCTTGCACAAGATGATCCGACTAGTCACGCATGGTCTCGGAGGTGAAGGCTACCTCAACTTTGAGGGCAACGAGTTCGGACACCCGGAATGGCTCGACTTCCCCCGAGAAGGGAATAATAATTCCTTCTGGTACGCACGACGCCAGCTAAATCTGACCGAAGACCACTTACTACGGTATAAATTCCTTAATGAATTCGACCGTGGGATGCAATTGACGGAAGAAAAATACGGGTGGCTCCATTCGCCACAGGCATATATCAGCCTGAAGAACGAAGCCGACAAGGTCCTCGTCTTTGAGCGGGCAGGTCTTCTTTGGATTTTCAACTTCCACCCAAGCAACAGCTTCACCGACTACCGTGTTGGTGTCGAGCAAGCAGGCACGTACCGCATCGTTCTCGACACCGATGACCCAGCATTCGGTGGTCTGAACCGCAATCTTAAGGAGACACGGTTCTTTACCACTGATATGTCGTGGAATGGCCGGAGCAACTTCCTCCAAGTCTACATCCCCACCAGGACCGCACTAGTAAGATCCATCCTATACCTGGCACTAGAGTCCACAAAGAAAGAAAGAACTGCGTATGCTAATAACTCACAACAGGTCCTGGCCCTGGAAGAAACGCTGTAGATACTTCGTATCAATCTGAAAGCACGCCCTCAGCAATAAGCTATACTTTACATCAAGTGTTTTAATCTTGTTCTCGACTTTATAATTCTTAACTACAATTTACTGTTCTTAGATCTCAATCATTATACAGTCATCATGAAGGCATCAGTCTTCGCCCAGTTAGAAAATCATTTAGAGACAACCCAGCAATAACCCTTTGATCACCACCACACATACTAGACCTTCCTGTTCCACAAGCTCCAGTGTCCTCTTCCCATTTAATATCAACTCTCGAGTCTAATTTCCACTGTTTACTCACAAACCAACAAGCATCGACCTATTTAAAGCCAAACAGCCCAACCCTAATATATAAGACTCCACCAACAATGGCATACCAATCATCAAGCCAAAGCTTCTAGACCACGCCCTTCAACATCTCAAAACCATGTAGCAGTAACCCAACACACAGCATTATAAGTCTGAAGTCATTCGTAGCCAAACGAACAGCACAAAAACTCCCTTTCAACTCCCCAGGCACATTTCTATTATCATACCACTCTACATAAAACTTACAAAAGCACAGTAGTCACTCAACACAACCATCCTCCACGACAAAGATTAAATAGATCACAACAACCTCAGAAAATGACCACAGCACCAATCGCCAAAAAAAAAATTAAATAATAATAATAATAATAATAATCAGTCCACAGACCGAATATACGATCACCAGTTCCATATACATGGATAAAAAGAGCCCCCAGGTACAAAAATGAACAACCTTTGCTAAAGGGGAAGGAAATTACCATCCTCGACGAGGTCGAACTTGACATTACTCCAGTGCCATGCTTCATTAGGCCTAAATGCAATCTAGCACAGCATCAGCCGCGTGTATGTTTCTCTAGCTCTCTAGAGAAAACGGGGGCATTATTCAGTATTCCCTGCCTTTGAAAACTGCACGTATCTCATAGAACTATATATAGTTCTTTGGGTTGTCTTCTTAGGGAAATATGTTCTTGGATATAGAAAGAAGTAGTGGTGGTAATGAGGAAATGTGGATGGTAAACCTTGTCTTGCTAAGGAAGATTGCTTGGGTTCAGTATATTAGTCGTTCTAGAATATATATGTATGTAGAAGAGACAGGTACTCAGTATTGCCGTATAAATTCCATTGATTTATACTAGGTAGAAAGTGACGCGCACAAGGAGAATACTCCAAAGGTGTGTCTAATAGTGTGAAAAGATTATATTTTTGAGGTTGAGTTTTATATATTATGTAGCATTATATATAACTCCATGGCCAGATGTGGTGCAAAGTAAATGCCTACTATCCCATCTAGAGCTATATTGCTTGAAATTCAAGGGAAATCACAGCAGGTGAAGGGTAGGTAGTTCTAGGGGAGGCTGATGCATTGTATTGGTAGACTTGAAGTCACGATTTATCTCCAAGTGCCCACCATACAAAGATAAAGGCTGAATTTCAAGGATAATCATGATATGAAAGCAAAGCATTCCGTATGATGGCCAATTACAAACAATATAGGAACGGGAGTACGGCATTATTGATCTACACTGCCTACGAAGGGAAAGAGAAAGAGAGTTGGTGCAACAAAAGAAATGAATACAATTGTCCCAGCCCCGAGGGTATCAGGCTGAATGTGGTCGTTTTAACTTACTTACATGAGCACGTAGTGTAACACAAGTCCGGAAGGTACTTCCGGACTTTAAGGTAGGTGTAATAGTGCTCCCTTCCTTTTTCTTCTGAACAGGGAGGATAAGCCTTTCGTTCAACTCCCTTTTCTTAATTCGAGTACTGTACACGTATCGACAGAAAACGGATAACTGAAGAAAGGAAGTCCATGTCTAACAAAAAAGAAAAGGGCGCTTAAAAACAATATTACATTTAGGCCTTGTTCTCGAGCTCGGCCAGGAGCTTCTCACCCTTGGCACGGGCGGACTCGAGGTCACCAACCATGTAGAAAGCAGCTGAGACACCGTTAGCATACAGTTCAAAGACAAGTATTAGTCAGGGGAAACTTACCCTCAGGAAGGTCATCAGCCTCTCCGTTGATGATGGCCTTGAAGGAGCGGATGGTGTCCTTAAGGTCAACCAGCTTACCCTCGATACCAGTGAAAACCTGGGCGACGGTGAAAGGCTGGCTCAGGAAACGCTGAAGCTTACGGGCACGCTCGACAGTGAGCTTGTCAGCCTCAGAAAGTTCGTCCATACCCAGAATGGCAATGATATCCTGGAGGGACTTGTACTCCTGGAGCATCTGCTGGACACGGGTGGCGGTGTCGTAGTGTTCCTGACCGACGATACGGGGGTCGAGCATACGAGACTTGGAGTCAAGAGGGTCGACAGCAGGGTAGATACCCAACTCGGAGATACCACGGGACAAGACAGTGGTGGCGTCCAAGTGAGCGAAAGTGGTGGCGGGGGCAGGGTCAGTCAAATCGTCAGCAGGGACGTAGACGGCCTGGACGGAGGTAATGGAACCCTTGGTGGTGGTGGTAATACGCTCCTGCATACCACCCATGTCGACGGCCAGAGTGGGCTGGTAACCGACAGCAGAGGGGATACGACCAAGAAGGGCAGACACCTCAGAACCGGCCTGGGTGAAACGGAAAATGTTGTCAATGAAGAGCAGCACATCCTGACCCTCCTCGTCACGGAAGTATTCGGCAATGGTCAGACCAGTAAGGGCGACACGGGCACGGGCACCTGGGGGCTCGTTCATCTGACCGAACACAAGGGCGACCTTGGATTCACCGTCGAGCTGAATGACACCAGTCTCCTGCATTTCGTGGTACAGATCGTTACCCTCACGGGTACGCTCACCGACACCAGTGAAGACGGAGTAACCACCGTGAGCCTTGGCAATGTTGTTCTATGAAGGGTTAGAAAAGAGTGGAGAAAGATAAATCTTTGGTTGCAGGTGAACATACAATCAACTCCTGGATAAAGACGGTCTTACCGACACCGGCACCACCGAAGAGACCAATCTTACCACCACGGGCGTAGGGGGCAAGCAGGTCGACGACTTTGATACCAGTGACAAGAATCTCACCCTCAGTGGACTGCTCAACGAACTCAGGAGCCTCGGCGTGGATAGGGGCGTACTTGGTGGCCTTGACGGGACCACGCTCGTCGACGGGGTCACCAGTGACGTTGAGGATACGGCCCAGGGTGCCAGGACCGACAGGGATGGTGATGGGAGCACCAGTGTCGCGAGCAGCGGCACCACGAGTCAAACCCTCGGTACCTGAAAGTGATATGTCAACCCAAAGTTCGGGTGACCCTAGCCACGTATATGGGAGCGGTCAAGCCAGGGCGAGCACTTATGATATGCTCACGGCGATACTTAAACAATAGAACGGGGTGACTTACCCTCCATAGCAATAGTACGGACGACATTCTCACCCAAGTGTTGCTGTTTTTGGTTAGCTATGTTGACTTGATGTCATTCAAGCTCTGGGGGTACCTACAGAAACCTCGAGCACGAGCTTCTGGCCATTGTTCTCGGTCTCAATGGCGTTGAGAATGGCAGGGAGCTTCTCACCCTCGAACTTCACTGTAATCGAAAGTCAGATATCGTGTTTTCAGCCACATATGGAGTCGTTGTTGATGATTTTATGATGGAATTGCGGCCAGGAAAAGATTTTCGCGTAGCCGGGTAACAGGGTTTTCGTCGGGAGCCGGAAACATACCGTCGACGACGGCACCAATGACCTGGTGAATCTTGCCGCTAGCGCCGGCCTCAGTGCTGGCCAACCTGGCAAGGGAAGGGAAGGCATTGATCTTGGAAGGAACGCGACGGGCGACCGGGGTAGGCCGGGCAAAAGCAGCCCTCCCGAAGGTCCGGGCAAGACCGCTGTAAAAGGGAAAAAACAGCTGTTAGCAAGCGGGAAAAAAAGGGTCATAGGGCGACGAGGTCAGACTGGGCGGAGCAACACACCTCTTGAACATTATGATGGTGTTTAAGAGCGAAACGGGGATAAATGAGGTCAAAGGGACGAGAAGATGGGGAGAGGGAAGAAAGAGGGAAGGGAAGGGAAGAGGTTGAGGTTGAGGTGGACACGGGCGACTGTGTCCGGTCTTAGCCTTTCCGGGGCGGTTTTGCCGACGATCCCGTGATGTACCGAGCAACGCGCAGAAAACATGGACAGAGCTGCATCAGCTTCATGGTTGCTAGGCAGTGTAATTCCCTTTTACACCTTTTCAACCGAATACATAACTGCTACATTTTCATATGATAGATAATTTTCTTACTCGTCGCCCTCCCCGTCCAACACTGTATGGAGAAGTTCTCCCGGCGGTTGTCATGGAAATTTACACACAAAATGAGGAGCTTCTTGGCAACCATCGGATACAAGGGAGCATTGAACCCCATCAAAAATGCCATTTGTCCAGCACACTATCCAGTAGAACCGTGACTAGTCGAAAGCATTCCGGTCTAAATCGAGCGTATGCGGCTCAAACCAATACGGTGAAGAAATAAACATGTCGTAACGGGCATAGACCCGACTTTCGACGTATTATTTTGGTTCTCCTATTACCCCCGTCCGGGTACACCGTAAAGATCCAAAGCTCCTATTTCGGACGAACGCCAACTTGGGAAAAAAATCTGACGTGTTCCCGTGATTCTCCATCAGGATCATCAAGGTATCTAGGTAGTCAATTCTGGTCTACAGTGACAAGTACATATATATATATATATTATTTTTTTTTTCTATAGGTCAACATTTCTTGGTGCTATGCCAAGAAATAAGCATAGGAATAGTGATGGCCGAAGAGGTGTAATGGCGCATGAAAGTAAAGTTCGGAAGCGTTACTATGTATTAGCACTTTTCCGACTTCCATGACATATTTCCGACGTGAACATCAGAGTCGACTTGACTGATACCAAACCTCTTCAGTAGAAAAGGACATTGATGATATGAAGCGAAATGATTATCGCTTTGTACTAATCTACAGGTTATAAACTCTAGAAGTCAGTTACCATTCGCAACAGTGGAACAGACTCTATGGCTACAAAGGAGATACATTGATTATGGCACAGTACGAGATACAAGTCTTTTGGGCTGACATTGGGCAAAACAGATAAGACAGAGGCGAAGGGAAGTGCACACGATGATGGGCACAGAACCGGCGGTATCAGAAAACGGAAGGACGACGCCATAGGTACCATTTGAACCCATAGCAGACCCTATCCAGCTTATCCAATTGCTATACCTGTTCCTCCCGCATCACTGGTCCACAATCTATGACTTCTCAGCAGGAGGGCTCTGGACGAAGCCCTTGCCCTCGTAACCCTCGGCGCTGACACCGTAGATAGGGTTGATCTTCTCGGCCTGTTATGACAAGTAGTCAGTGTCTGATCTAATGGATTTCAAGAGACACTACCCCATGGCAGGCTCAAGTGAGAGAGTAAGATCAACGTACCTTGGCATACTCGTTGGAAGCCTCCTGCCACTCCTTGGACATGGTCTTAGGCTGGGGCTTAGCGAACAAGTGAATGACGTAGAACACGGCGACGGAGACAGCAGTGAGCTGGGCGACCTTAACGGCAATTCTGAGACCCTCACCCTTAGGGGCCTGCGCGCGAGGGCCATGAGGACCAAAGGCAATCCAGTAAGCTAAAATGCGGGGGTTGGTGCCCATCAGCAAAATTCTGATCGATCGGGAGTAGCGGGGATTGTGTAGATAGAAAAAGCATACCGGCCTTCTTCTCCTGAAGGGTCATCTGGTGCCAGTCAACCTTCATACGGTCCCTGAGCTGCATCCACAGATCGGCCTGCTCCTGAGGGGGCATGGCCTCCCAGCGCTTCTCGATACCGGCGAGTGTGGGATTCGAGATGGCGTGCTCGGATGAGGCGCGGGTCTGCTGGGGAGCGATAGACTTCTTCGCAGGCTGAGGACGGGCATTCAGGCAAGCCATTGGGCCTGAGACGGTGCGGTAGGAACGAATGGCAGTGGTGGGCATGGCCGAGCTGCGAGCAGCAGCCCGAGAGACGGACTGAAAGAACATTGTGTGGGAGGTCGTGCGCGCGACAAAAAGAGACCAATTAAAAATCAAATACACTCTCCGTGAACGAGAGATGTAATGCCTCGGGATTGAGGATGAATTAAGGTGGGATGGGAGTGGAGGAGGTGATCGAGACTTCGCGATGGGAAACGAAGACGTCGTTCGACTGTGGTTTGAGGTGGAAAGTCGAGTATCCGGCCGGTTAGGTTAGTCCGTTTTGCCTGCGCCCTCATTGGTCCACGTCCCAATCTGTCCCGACCTCTACTTCCTTCACCCAAAACACCTGATACTTTCCATCCCTATCCAACATCAAAAACCGACCTAAGGGTATTTTTGGATTTTGATCGGCTTCTTGATTGATCAGTAAACTTTGGCAAGTCCCAACAGTCAATATTTCGAACTTTCCACATCGACTTCTTTTTTTTTTTTTTTTTGTTTTCCCTTACGGTACTTATCAAGCTAGGTACAGCGAAGCTATACTGGTCACCTGACGGGCGCTCTCGGGATCATAGCACGACTATCAGACTTACGCAGGGGCTAACATGATGGGATATGTTTAAACGGTGAAGTCGTGTATTCTACTCTACACTGATCCTATGAAACCACACCTCCTACCAGGTAGCAATATTCTGTACAGGCATAAACGCTGACAAAAAAAGAAAACCCTCCCAAACGCTGGGTCACGGAGAGTGCCACGATCGCAAAAGACGAAGATACGATCACTATGGAAGCAGACAAGTCGTAACGATCTCATATTGAACTAGAATTTGTGCAGGAGAATGTCATTGAATTGGTTCGTTCCGAGACACTCCGCGAACTGGAAACGGAGCGGCGCAGTGTAATAACCAGCACACACAAGCTCACCTGGCCCAGGCCCAGCCGGCGCCGTTACTTATTTACCAGCCTTTCCGCCGCTGGCTTCAGCCAGAACAGTCTTCCATTCAATATCACTTTTGTCGTCGGCGTGGATGGAGGTGTGGATGTTGAGGGCGTTCTTCAGAACCTCCCGAGTGCTGGCGTAGATCATAGACCACTATTGCATGTATCATCAGCAACAGCTAGCATGACAGAAAGATAGAGCGCAAAGAAACTTACGAGGGTTGGGGTGTCACTGGGAACCCAGGAAATGAAGATTATCTTGCTCCTACACAAAAAAAAAAAAAAAAAAAAGTTCGTAAGCTGCCAATCAACTCAAAGGACGACTTTCGTAGCACCATACCTCTTGCCTTCGTTGGCACCGAGCTCGTACTCGACATCGTAGACTGCGTAACGGGGGGCAGGGTTGCCTTTGCTGTCCTTGGCGGCTGCAAGCTTGTTGCGGAAGACTTCATAGTCTGGGTCACAGGACATTTCATCAACGACGACCGACTTCTTGTCGTCGGCGATCTTGAAGATGATGAACTTAGGCTTTTCGCCCTTGCTGCCGCCGGTCATGCGGAATTCGTTGAACCTGTTGACGCAGTCATCGGTAATGGTAACTCTAAGTAATAGGCGTCGTTAGTGTCGATTCGGGGCTCCGGCATGAATCTGATCTTTGGAGAAAGGTGTAGGACATAATCGTCGACATACCCAGATGCGAGCTACGGGACCCAAGCGAATATCAGATCAGTATGAGCCTGGTCCATCAAGACGTCGGGTGGAATACGTACCGACATGATTGCTATATGGATATGGAAATGAAGAAACACCGAAGTTGATAACCTACGCCGGCACGCGATATCAGTAGCTGGTTTCCCCTGATTTTAGCAGTAATTCCCCGTCAAGGAAGAAGAGTGCCTATTGCATCCAGGAAGCCCATTCAGTTTAATTTACTAACCAGAGAAGAGGGAGATTATTCTCAAGAGATTCCCACAGAAATTTGGGGGTGAAAGAAGCTAACTGAAATGAATTATGTGAGGGGGTGGGAGAGGAATAATAATGGGGGATGGAGATAGAGGGGCATTTAGTTGTTGTGCTTTGCGGTGTTGCGCCGCCGGTGGGGGGGATTACTATCACGTGATATCGCCGTCGCACCACCAGGCCGTGTTTTCGTCATAATCCATTTCCCCTGAATGTTCCGGTAGTGAATACGAGTGAGTGGTTAGAGTGTGAAGCATACAAACTAGTACTGTACTTAACATTGCAGCCTGCTGCAGGTTCATCCGTCACCTGCGTCTCCGACTAGTATCAATGGGTACTGTAAGGAGCTGCCTATTCCTGGACACGTTTGCCGTTGCTAGTGTGGGGAACTCATTTTAACGGATTGTAGGGATCTGTACGGAGTAGACACTGGGCACAACTATTTTTATTACCACCTCCAACGCTGTATTTTGTTTTCCGGAACTGTGTGACTAAGTCCCATATAAGATCAACCATGGAACTTCAGTCCAAGTAACCGACTTCTCATTAAAGGCCCTAAGTATGATTGGATCATATAATTATGCAGGATATTATGCGGGACTGCAAACATGCATTCTGTCTACTGGCACAAAATACACTCTACCAATATTTGTATTCGTGACACTCGATTATACGCTCCAAACTAGTTACGACGTTCTTGGTATATTCCCAATGCTACCCCATGCGTGTCAAAGTGGTAGTCAGCTCCAAACACAAGGGGGGAAATTAAATTTCTAGTCATACTCTATAATCCAGCATATATGAAAGCATACATCAAATAGTATGTACTGTAAGACCCGATTATGACAAGCACCCCACTGCCCTACTCGGCGCTGAGTATGACAGGCTCTGACGATGACGATGATCGTTCACAGGTTGAACCGATCAGAGTTAGCACATTGCACCTTGCCCTGTGACAGAGGACAGCCGAGTAGAGGGAGAATGATGAAATAGTAGCCTAAGAATGGAATAGTAAATAACATTGTCGTAAAGGGGTATATGAACGAATGGACAAGAAGCATATCAAGTCGTTGCGGAAGCATCCCGATGCATTAGCCCGCAACCGAGCAGAAGGAAAGTGAAAAGGATCAAGACTTTAGAAAGTATGGCCTGATGGTAGCGAGGACAGTGCCCCCTGGCGCTAGCCTCCATGAAGCCACGACATCCAACAAACAGCGGCGGCGAATATTGTGGACAGAAAATGACAAAGGCGCTATCGTAAGAGCATAAACCGGCATTAGAACTTCAAACCCTCGTACTTTTTTTGGCTCATGAATGAGGGGCTGCTGGTTATCATAGGTTATCATCTGCTTGTCCTCCATCGATGATCTTTCTCCAGTGCTGGGGGAGGCACACACAGACCAACGGGAATGCTTTGATTTCCCCAGTTGGGGAAGGAGAAGCAATCGGCCTGTGGGAGCCATTTGATACGCCGCTGTCGCGCTGTTCTCTATGTCTAGCATCATAATCCTCCGCACTCTCCGGGACCCGGATTCCTGTCGCCCAACCATCATCCCAAATTCCAACTATCTTCAACATCTCCCCTCGGTCCAGGGCGAATTCATCGCCCGCTCGCGGCTGATACGCCCAAAGCACGGCAACCTTGTCTCCTGGGCGAATGTCATCTTGGGAATAATAATCATGGAATGAAGATAATTGCTCCGACTGGCCACTGGCCATCCCATCGGGTGATGAGTATTGACCACCTGTGCCGGAGCGAGGTGACCCGTCACTACCTGCACCAGCCAGGGCCGAATTGCTAGAAAGCGAGGCAGTACGCTTCCCTGCAGTCGGGGGGATCTTCTTAGACATAGCCCCGGGGCTCGCGCCGTAGTAGTCTGAATCAGAGGATTCGCTATATTTTCCACCACCGAAAATAGCAGCAGAGTTACGAGAGCGTCCGGGTGAATAGCTTGGGGCCTCACGCAGGGCAGACATCCTAGCTACTCTCCCCCCTGGAATCGGTGCGAAGCCTTGCTGGTTGGGGCTAGGTTGCATTGGTGAGAAGCCCTTCCTCTGAGGGTTTGGCTGGTTCAAAACATTGTCATTCCGAGCCCTTCGTTTTCGTCTCCAGCATATCAACGCCAGTGCAGCTAATGCCGCTAAAAGCGCAACTCCAGCTACGGCCCCAATCACAGCTCCCGCAATTTGGCCTCCAGAGAGATGCCCAGATGAGGCTCCTGCAGTCGGACTAGATGTCGAAGTGAAAATCGGTGGGATTGTCGTTGACGGCGTGGGAATAGTCACATCTTTACATCGAGTCGCAGCGTTCGAATTTATGCAGCAGGAATCAGTGGAGTTGGGTGAGCTTGCCCCACAAAATCCACACAAGCCGACGAGATTCGAACCATATCCACATTCGTCGGACTCGTTGTCAGCTCCCGATATGCAGGTCACGGTTAGTGAGTCGGCGGGAAGAGCACACACGGTAAAGTCAGAGCGGACTTGGCTCATATAATTACCGGCTCTTTTGGGGCAAAGATCAGGATTAAGCAAAATAGTTGCTTCGCTTGTAGCCATCAAAGCCTATCCTAAATGATTAGATAAATCCTTACTAGCCAAGTAGGAGGTACTAACACAGGTATCAGCACAGAGAGGCCTGGACTCATCATCCGATAGGTCGCAATCCTTTTTTGAACTTTGAACGAGCCCACTGCATATGCTGCTAGCGGTATAGCGCGCATAAAAATCATCAGTATCTGTAAGATTAGCCCCTTGGCAGCCCAGGTAGTCGACATATCTGGTAGCCAGAACAGATTAGGTGAGGTACATAGTAGGAATTACGGGTAGCGAATGCCTACTTTTGGGTAACGTAAGATCCTTTAACGTAATCACTCAACTCTTGGTCAAATTGTTTTACGCTTGTAACGTTCTGCATGAATGGGCTATTGGAATGTCAGTAAAGTAACCTGTGACGTTGTAGGATCGAGGTCCCAGCGAGACGTACAAGTCAGTGTAGAGACTAGAGCTAGTTGATATCGATGAGCCATTCCAGGCGGGACATTGCGTCGAGCCCTTGAGAGATATGCAGGTTGCCATGCCGGCCTGCAACTATCAAAGTGCGGTTCAAAAGTTCGGTGATCTCAGTAGTTGCTAGTGATTATGTAGAAGACGGGGCGTAGACGGATGAATGACACTCAAGTCAAATAGCAAATCGGATATTCGGTTCGGGCCAATAATTTAATCGGCAGACTCTCTCATGTTGCTGCTATCTTGCGACTCTGTATTCTCGGTTCCAGGCAACAGAAACTGTTTGGGGG